TCCAGCGTAACGGGCTGGACCACCTCGCGCGCGGCATCTCGGACCCCAGACATGCGACGATGTCTCGGGCGAAACGTGCCGCGAGGAAGTCTCAGGCGAAACGGGCCGGACCACCTCGAGCGCGGCGTCTCAAAGCTCCGAATTGCGGGGGCCTCTTGGGGCCTCCTGGGGACCTCCTGGGGCTTCCTCCTGGGCCTCCTGTGGCCTCCTGGGCCCCACCCGGGGCTTTCTGAAGCCTCTTGGGGCTCCCAGGGGATGTGTATTAACTTGACACGTTCTGATTGGGGGCCTCCTGGGGCCTTCTGGGAGCCTCCTGGGAATCTCCTGGAGGCCCCTGGGGACCCCTGGGGCCTACCCTGGGCGTCCTGCGGCCTCCTGAAGCTCTCTGGGGCCTCCTGGGGCTCCTAGGGTCCCAGAGGGGATATGTAACATGTGGTCTTCTGGGCCCACAGGCTGGACCACCTCTTGCGCGGCATCTGGGAGCTCAGAGTTGCGAGAATGTCTTGTGCGAAACGGGCCCGACCACCTTGCGCACGGCAGAGCTCAGAGTTGCGAAGATGTCTCAGGCGAGACACGCTGGACCACCTCGCGCAGGGCATCTCAGAGCTCAGAGTTGCGAGGATGTCTCAAGCGAAACGGGCTGGACCACGTCACGCGTGGCATCTCCGAGGTCAGAGTTGCGAGGATGTCTCAGGCGAAGCGGGCCGGACCACCTCGCGCACGGCATCTCAGAGCTCAGAGTTTCGAGGATGTCTAGGGCGAAACGGGCCGGACCACCTCTCGCGCGGCATCTCGGAGCCCAGAGTTGCGAGGATGTCTAAAGCGAAACGGGCCGGACCACCTCGCAAGCGTCATCTCGGAGCCCGGAGTTTCGAGGATGTCTCAGGCGAAACGGGCTGGACCACCTCTCGCACGGCACCTCGGGACCTCGAAGCTCAGAGTTTCGAGGATGTCTCAAGCGAAACGGCCCGGACCACCTCTCGCGCGGCGTCCCGGAGCGCAACTTTTTGAGGATGTCTCAGGCGAAACGGCCAATCCCGGCCAACTCAGAAACGAGAGTTGTGAGGATGTCTCAAGCGCAACGGCCCGGACTATCAGATTTTTGTGAGGATGTCTTTGCTCCCCCTTCCCTCGGCCGGAGTTAGCTTCTATCACAACAGCACCCCGTTCAGCAAGCTGTTTGGGGAAAAAGCGGTTGGAAGTCCGCGGGCTCCCGTCTCAAAAGAAACATAGTGACGTCGGATATCTGGGGAGGCCGTGAGGGGCGCCGAGGAAGTCATAAGCAAGAACCCTAACGAAAAAGCAGTCCCTGGGATAAGATCGAGAGGTCCGCGGACACACGTCTCGAAACATCTGGACGTCGGATGTCTGGGGATGGCGGAAGGCAAGGCGCGCATGGCGGATGCTGAGGCGGCAAAATGACGGAGACGGCGACGGGGAGGCGGAGGCAGAGGCACGGCAGCGAAAGGCGAGAGGCGTGAGGAGGAAGGAGGGAAGAGGAGGCAGGCGGGAGGCAAGATGAGGGAGGTGGGAGGAATGAGAGAGGTTTCAGGCAGAACGGGGCACACCATCTCGTGCGCAGCATCTCGAAGAACCCTGACGAAGAACCAGTCCTGGGGACGAGATCGAGAGGTCCGCGGGCGCACGTCTCGAAACAAAAATCGTGACGTCGGATGTCTGCGGAGGGCGGAAGGCAGGGCGCGCATGGCGGCATCTCGGAGCTTCGCATTGTGAGGATGGCTCGGGAGAAACGGGCTGGACCACCTCGCGTGCGGCATCTCGGAGCTCAGTATTGGAAGGATGCCCCAAGCGAAACGGGCCGTTCTACCTCTCGCTTCCCGTTGAGACCTCTCATGCAACTCCATTCCTCATCCCTCCTCGTCCTCCTCCTCCTCCTCCTCCTCGTCCTCCTCCTCCTCCTCCTCCTCCTCCTCATCATGCATGCTCCCTCCTCCTTCTTCTCCTCCTCCTCCGGCACGTTTTGAGACGTCGCTAAAATGAGTATACAAATCCTGTTTGGGGAACCTTGTCTCGGAGCTTAGAGTTGCGAGGATGTCCCAGGTCGCACCTGGTCGACGAGTAAGCTGTCGGCGGGGACGGGGAGGCGGAGGCAGAGGCGCAGCAGCGGGAGGCGGGAGGCGGGAGGAGGGAGGAGGGAAGAGGAGCCAGGCGGGAAGTGGGAAGAGGGAGGCGGGAGAAGGAATGAGACAGGTTGTGATTGGAGCCCCTGTGCTACGAAACGTCTCAGGCAGAACGGGCCAGACCATCTCGCGCGCAACATCTTCGAGCCTCGCATTGCGAGGATGGCTCAATCGAAACGGGCCGGACCACCTCGCGAGCGACATCTTGGAGCTCAGTATTGGAAGGATGTCTCAAACGAAACGGGCCGGACAATCTCTCGCACACGTTCTGACAAGTCCACGTCGCACTCGCTTCCCGTTAGGTCCTCTCCTGCAACTCCTTTCCTTCTCCCTCCTCCTCCTCCTCCCCCTCCTCCTGCCTGCTCCCTCATGCACATCATCCGCCTCCTCCTTCTCCCCTCCATCCTCCTCCTCCTCCTCCTCCTCCTCCTCCTCCTCCTCCTCCCTCCTCCTCCTCCTCCTCCTCCTCCACCTCCCTCCTCTTCATCCCGAACGGCATCTCGGAGCCTAGAGTTGCGAGGATGTCTCCAGCGTAACGGGCTGGACCACCTCGCGCGCGGCATCTCGGACCCCAGAGTTGCGACGATGTCTCGGGCGAAACGTGCTGCGAGGAAGTCTCAGGCGAAACGGGCCGGACCACCTCGAGCGCGGCGTCTCAGAGCTCCGAGTTGCGGGGGCCTCCTGGTGCCTCCTGGGGCCTCCTGGGGACCTCCTGGGGCTTCCTCCTGGGCCTCCTGTGGCCTCCTGAACTCCACCTGGGGTTTCCTGAAGCCTCTTGGGGCTCCCAGGGGGGATATCTAACCTGTGGCCGTTTGGGCCCCTCAAAATGGAGGGGGGGCACAAGAGCAGGAAAAATCAACGAATCGGCACCGGATGTGTATTAACTTGACACGTTCTGATTGGGGGCCTCCTGGGGCCTCCTGGGAGCCTCCTGGGAATCTGGGGACCCCTGGGGCCTGTCCTGGGCGTCCTGCGGCCTCCTGGAGCTCTCTGGGGCCTCCTGGGGCTCCCAGGGTCCCAGGGAGGATATGTAACATGTGGTCTTCTGGTCCCCCAGGCTGGACCACCTCTTGCGCAGCATCTGGGAGCTCAGAGTTGCGAGAATGTCTTGTGCGAAACAGGCCGGACCACCTTGCGCACGGCATCTCAGAGCTCAGAGTTGCGAGGATGTCTCAGGCGAGACGGGCCGGACCACCTCGCGCAGGGCATCTCAGAGCTCAGAAGTTCGAGGATGTCTCAGGCGGGCTCCCAGGGTCCCAGGGAGGATATGTAACACTTCTGGGCCCCCAGGCTGGACCCCCTCTCGCGCGGCATCTGGGAGCTCAGAGTTGCGAGAATGTCTTGCGCGAAAGAAACAGACCGGACCACCTTGCGCACGGCATCTCAGAGCTCAGAATTGCGAGGATGTCTCAGGCGAGACGGGCCGGACCACCTCGCGCAGGGCATCAGAGCTCAGAAGTTCGAGGATGTCTCAGGCACAACGGGCCGGACCACCTCTCGCGCGGCATCTCCGAGGTCAGAGTTTCGAGGATGTCTCAGGCGAAACGGGCCGGACCACCTCGCGCAAGGCATCTCAGAGCTGAGAGTTTCGAGGATGTCTCAGGCGAAACGGCCCGGACCACCTCTCGCACGGCACCTCGGGGCTCAGAGTTTCGAGGATGTCTCAAGCGAAACGGCCCGGACCACCTCTCGCGCGGCGTCCCGGAGCGCAACTTTTCGAGGATGTCTCAGGCGAAACGGCCAATCCCAGCCAACTCAGAAACGAGAGTTGTGCGGATGTCTCAGGCGAAACGGCCCGGACCATCAAATGGTTGTGAGGATGTCTCTGCTTCCCCTTCCCTCGGCCGGAGTTAGCTTTTATCACAACAGCACCCCGTTCAGCAAGCTGTTTGGGGAAAAAGTATCCACACCAGCCAATCCAGAAATGATGCTCAGGAGAGTTGCGGCGACCCGGGAAGTTTAGGAGCATGCAGTGGGACAGTGAGGGATGGGGGGGGGGGGCAGCCGTCAAACCGAAAATCGGGATCAACCTGAGCAGGCCAAGAAGTGAACCGGACGTGCTACCGCGGATCTTTGATTTTTGGAGCCTCTTGGCAGCTTGCTTGCGCCATCTTTTGACTCTCTCGGCCTCGGGGTCATTTTCGACTCCTTTGGGGCCCTCTTGGGGGGTCCCTTTGGGGCCATCTTCGAGGACATTGATGTAAAACGGGCGGCGTCAATTACTGCCCCTCCCGTCGGAAGCCTACAAGTCGACTCTTGGGGCCCTCGGTGGCCCCTCTCTGGGCTCTCTTGGGCCATGGGCCATCTTGAGGCCTCGCAAGCCCGCCGGAAGCGGAAAGGCCAGATTGCAACAAGAAGATGTGTTCAAGTCGTGGAAGGATGTTGTGTTTTCGGGAGGGTCAGAAGGGGGCTTCGTTGCCACTTGGAGCTGTTTAGGGACGGTTATGGCGAGCGCCTCTCGGAGGCATGGCGGAGGCTATCTTAAGCCATCGGATGCTATCTTGTAAGCCATCATGAGTTATCTGGGGCCATCTTGGGGCCGTATTGGACCATCTTGGACTCTCTACCCCCTCGCGGTGCCCCCTCTCCAGACCCAGGGAGGGGTAAGGGGAGAGGTGCACTTCTCCCCGAAGGAGAAGGAGGAGCTTAGAATATTCAACTCCTGAGATCACATACGCCCAGAGGGCTGGTGGGACCACCACGTTCAAGGTAACTGTTATATGCGCAAGTATCGGGCATGTCTCTAAGCATCAATACATAGCCGATCCGATTATGGTTGTAGGTCACCGCGATCGAAGCATATTCTTTGGAATCGTGCGATCAGATACTCACGCATTCTTTACTGCAGCCAAAGCTCAGGTTGTGCCATCCCGGAAGTCTCCATTGGTGGATACAGCGCTCTTGCTGGACTTCGACATTGGATGGCCAAGCCTCCCAGGTGCCCCATTCTCGTCCGAGAACGACTACACTTGCACAGCCACTTCCGAGTGTTCCACCTCCGCGGAGGAAGATGGCTTGGCGGACAACTTGACCGACAGCAGCTAGGTCCTTTGTTTTTCCCAACCCTCCTTGGTTAGGTATTCGTTTTGAATAAGGGACTGTGGTCTCCACCTTCCTTCCTCCCGCCTCCCTCCCTCCTCCTGCGTCCTGCTTCCTGCTTTATTCCCAACCCTCCTTGGTTGGGTATTCGCTTTGAATAGAGCACTGCTCGCGCGTCTCCTCCCGCCTCCCTCCTGCCTCCTGCCTGCCTCCTCCTGTCTTGCCTGCGGGGGGCTGCGATCTGTGAAACTGTCGCTACTTTTGAGGCCTGCTGGGGGGCCCAGCATAGTGACGCCACGCGCGGACCCAAATTAGACCTCGCCATCCCTGGGGGGCTGCGATCTGTGAAACCCTGCTGGGGGGCCCAGCACAGTGACGCCACGCGCGAACCCAAATTAGACCTCGCCATCCCTGGGGGGCTGCGATCTGTGAAACTGTCGCCACTTTCGAGGCCTGCTGGGGGGCCCAGCACAGTGACGCCACGCGCGGACCCAAATTAGACCTCGCCATCCCTGGGGGGCTGCGATCTGTGAAACTGTCGCCACTTTCGAGGCCTGCTGGGGGCCCAGCACAGTGACGCCACGCGCGGACCCAAATTAGACCTCGCCATCCCTGGGGGGCTGCGATCTGTGAAACTGTCGCCACTTTCGAGGCCTGCTGGGGGGCCCAGCACAGTGAGGCCACACGCAGACCCAAATTAGACCTCGCCATCCCTGGGGGGCTGCGATCTGTGAAACTGTCGCCACTTTCGAGGCCTGCTGGGGGGCCCAGCACAGTGACGCGCTACGCGGATCCACAATAGACCTCCGTATCCTTGGGCCGGAGGGGCTGCGGGTCAGGAGGAGGCGGCGGAGTCGGAGGAGGAGGAGGAGGCGAATGAGGAGCAGGACGTTCGCCGCTTGCCTGGGACGTTGTCGGCGTCGTCGCCGCCGTCGTCGTCATCGTCGTCGTCGTTGTTGCCGTCGGCGTCGTCATCGTCGTCGGCGTCGTCATTCTCGTCACCGCCGGCGAATGCTACGTCGTGCTTCTTCGAGACAATGGTGAGATTAGATACCGAATGCCTCATGAGTCCGCCCCGAAATATCCTTGCCCGAGTATCCCGCCCCTGCCTGACTGGGTCACGTACGTGCAGATTGCGGTGGCGGAGCGCCGCACCATATTGCTTCGCAGCGACGGCTCAGCCGCTGTTTGTGGCTGGGACCGATGCTGCGACGAAAACCTCATCCCCAGGCCCGTGGCTGGGACGGTTTACGTGCAAGTGTCCGCGAGCGAGTACCACTGCGTCTATCTCAGGGACAACGGCACCTTCGAGACGACTGGCTCGAAGGACAAGCGCCTGCGCGCGGCCCCTGATCTGCCGAGGGCCCTGTGGTATACACAAGTCGCCGCTGGAGACAGGGAGAGAGACGAGTGCCACACTACACTTTTGCGAAGTGATGAGGCCGTTCCAGCTCTCGGCGCAAACAGCAACGGCCAGTGCGACACTCCCACCTTGCATGCGGAGCTCTTTTACACGCAGGTCGCCGTTGCGGCGGGTCGAACTGCGATGATCAGAAACGACGGTGCCGCGGTGACGTGCGGCAGAGATAAGTGGGGCGGCGTGCACCGGGTGCCAGAACTGCCAGAAGGGCGTAGCTATGTGCAGGTGGCAGCAAGCGCCCATCACATTGTGCTGCTCACGAGCGATGGCACGGCGGTTGCAAGCGGCTGGAACACATGGGGGCAGTGTAACATCCCGGAGCTCCTGCGCGGGCTGACCTACACGAGCGTGTCCGCCGGCCGTTGGTGCTCGCTGCTCATGTGAAGCGACGGCGCCGCCGTGGCTTGCGGCGAATTGCGTGACACGAAAGGGAAGTTCCGCGTGGCAAGCCGTTGCATTCCGCCGCTGCGCATGGAGGTGACCTTGCATTCGGGATATCATGATAGCATTCATCTGCTGCGCCTCTGGGCCGTGTATGCCGGCGGATTGCTGAGCCTGGTGACGGAGTACAAAGAAGAATGCTGGAACAGACGTATCGACCCCAGTCTAGGGAATCCCTGAACTGCGCAATGTGATCTTGGCAGACGTCCAAGCAGGTGCACTAGGCCATGGGGGGGCGACGTAGTCTTGCCGACTGGAAGACTGATGAGCAGTGCGTCGACTCATGATGCAGCGGCTAGCGTTTGGGGCCTGCGTGCGAGGCGCGTGCGCGGCAAGCGCGCCCGCGCCGCCTGCTGGGGCGTCGAGTGAATGAAGAGCGAGGCCCCACGTGGCGCAAGCTCTTTTGCTGGATTTAAAATTCCGTTCTGTGCAGCTCTTGCATATTGCAGCGACTGCGGCGACAATTGGCATGCCTCAAAACATCGTCCCTCCCTTTCCTCCGACCTTCCTCTGTCGCCGCACTCGTGCTCTCCACGTCGTGTTGCTGCTGCCGCGTCAGCGGGGGCTCTTAGGGAGCCTGGCCAGTAGTAGTTCAATCACACGAGTCTGCGTTTATGCTGCATCAAATTGTTTGGAACCCGCTGGGTGAAGAGTTGCACCGCGTAAAAGATGCAAGCGCTTTGCACGTCATTTGCATGGGGCGAAACGGAAATAATCAGCTGGCTTTCCACGAGACGCCCTTCATGCCTCGTAAGTTGCTCTCAGCCCCTCGATCACATCATCCTCGAACCGTTATTGTTTCTGGGATTTCGCCGCAGACTCAAGTTAGACCTCGCCATCTCTCGGGGGCTGCGATATGAGATCCCCGCTTTCGAAGTGGCTAGGGGCGCTCAGGGATTGTAGCTAATCAGCTATATCTAGTCCATGTCCTGTAGCCAGTGTCCTGCGAGTCCCCCGAATTCCGTCTGCAGACATATGCAACCCTCGCTCCGTCATCCCCCCCCTTATAAAGTGCCCTAAGCTATTTGCGCCCCGCGTTTGCGCAGGGGTTGGGTACGTCGCCAGGGTAATTTGTTGACGCGGGCGCGGCTCGCCCCACGTAGCGGGCGCAGAGCAATAAATCTGCTCTGGAGGCAACCCGACTGCGCATCCCATGATTTCCAAGGGAGGCTGAGATGGCCCATGACTGCTCCACGGTTCGCCCGGCGCCTGCCTCGAGAGACCCTCGGCGACTTGCGCGCCGACTTCTCGAGGCGCCGCCCGAAGAGCGCGACGCCATCGCGTGCCCGAGCATCGAGTCCGATCCCCGCGCGGGGGCGACCTGGGAGTCAGGGGGGACTGGCGATAGCTCGAGCCGTCCGCGCAGGGAGTCAGGCAGGTCCAGGATGACGACGAATCGCTCCAGAGCGTCCCGGACCGCTCTCAGAGTGCTCTGGAGTCGGCCGCGGCACCCGAAGCATCCCCCCAGACCCGGCGGCTCAGAGATTTTCCCGACTTCTCTTCGTCCGAATCCGCCCCCATCCTGCCCTCGTCCCGAGCGGCGCACAGACGGGGCGGCAGTGGCTACTCCTCGTGCCCCCGCTTCCCAGGGGATCAAAAAGTCCCAAATCGGAGATCCGACCTCCAGTCGAGAGCCCCTCTTCCTCCTTCCTGGGATCGAGTGCGCTTCCTCCGGAACGGGGGCTCGACCTCCGCAGTTGAGGTTTTCGATCGTTTGGGCTGCCCCCCCCTCGCCTCCCAAGGCAGGGGGCGCGGCGCCGCCCGCTTCGTAGCCCGACCAAATGGGGGAATCTCGCGCTGGGGGGCCCGTCCGCGCCCTCGCCGCCGGCCAGTTGCATGGCCGCGTGTCCAAAGCCACCGCCGCTGCCGCTGCAGTTTGCAATCACGGGGGGTTCGCTGGGGGATCGCTCCTCACACCCCCTTCCCTCCTCGTAGCTGCCTCCCTTCCTCCCTCCTGCTCCTGTCCTCTCTTCCTCCCTCCTCCTCTCTTCTTCCCTTTCTCCCTCCTGATCCCTCCTGCCTCCTGCCCCCGCCTCTTTCCTTCTCCATTCCCTATCTCTCCCCCGCCCCTCCCTCTCTCTATCCTCCACCTCTTTAGTTACAAATGTTAGCCAGCACGCACCCCAAGCAGTGCGGCAACGAGGCGGCCACGGGCGGCGACGCGGCGAAACTTCGGCGGGTTCCCCAAATGGGTGGCCACGAGGCGGCAACGTCGCGAAACTTCGCAGGACCCACCAAGTGCACGAGGCGGCAATGAGGTGGCCACGGGCTGCAACATGGCGAAGCCTCGCCAGACCCACCCAGCGCACGAGGCGGCCACGAGGCGGGCGGCCACAGGCAGCAAAGTGTCGAATCTTCGCCGGACCCACGCAGCGCACGAGGAGGCCACGAGGCGGCCACGGGGGACAACATGCCGAAATTTCGCTGGATTCACCAGGCGCGCGGGGCGGCCACGAGGCGTCCACGTGGCGAAACCTCTCCGAACCCACCCAGCGCACAAGGCGGCAACGAGGCGGCAATGTGGAAAATGCTCGCCAGACCCAACCTGTTCTTGAGTGAGAGAAATAAGAACCCTACGTGCAAGCACGGCTTTGGGAAGAACTCCGCGTCGCAGACCCAGGCGTGGCGGGTGGGGCGTTTCGCTTGAGACTCCCCCACGGTTTATGATCTGGAAGCTTGGAATCCGAAGCAGCTTCACGCATGGAGGGGGGTTGTTTTTCAAATGTGGCTCCGTTTCACAGCTGGAGGCGGGCTGGTTTTTTCAATGTGGATCTCGCAATAGCGCCGCACGCACTCGTCTTAACAACTTGCAGCCGTTGCTGTATGGGGGGTCGTTTTCAAATTGTGGTTTTCGCATTTGCGCCGCGCGCATTCGTCTGAACAGTTTGCAAGAGCTTCACGGATGGTGGGCGGCTCATGTTCAGTATGCGGCTCTAGCTTCTGCGCCGCGCACATTCGTTGTACAAGTTTGCAACAGTTTCACAGATGGAGGGGGATTTAACTTGTGGCTCTCGCCCTAGCTCCGCGCACATTCGCCGTCAAATTGTGTGACCGTTTCACGGATGGAGGGGGGTCGTTTTCAAAATGTGGTATTCGCTTTAGCGTTGCGAACATTTGTCTTCTAAGTTTGCAACAGCTTCATGGA